CTGAAATACTCAAAAAGCCTTGGAAAGAGACCGAAAGGCTAAGAAAGACTCGGAACGATGGCTACGCCTTTCGGTAAGCCGCGAGCGACTCCGCTGTCACTCGACCGACGAAGAAGGAGAAAAAGGTGGAGAAAGGGGCTGCGAGGCGCGGGGGGAGTATGGCGTGAGAAGTGCGTAGATGCGTGGGTGGCTGTCAGTGAGCGCGAGAACACTGCGTGAGCCGCTCGCCGACTTGCGGCTCCGCTCGGGCCACGCCACGAGTTCTCTTCTTCTGTTCGCCTCCCCCCTCCTCTTCGCTCCGTCGCTCGGGCCATGCGATTCATCGCGCATCGATCGATTCGGATGACTCGTACGTATGTATGTGTATACGCGTTCGGAGAGCGGTTCCACTTGTCGGGCGATCGGGAACGCTCGACCCTTGTTTACCATTGTTCGGTCGGATGCGAACGTATTCCTCGAGCCCCCGGTGAATCGTTTGTGCCTCTTTTACATGCAGGACGATTATCGTTCCGTTCGTACACGTGCACGTCTTCTTAGTTAGATGCAACAGACTTACACGGTAGCTGATATAACGTTTGGTAAGGTAAATGTCCCTGTTCGTGAGCACGTTGCACCGTCGACTTGCTCCTGTCACTGGAAACTGCGAACACGTATTCGGCCGCGCTGTGGTTGTTGAGATAATATTTTGACGTGGATTTTGACGTCATTGTGTGCGTGGAGGATCCTGAGGATTATCTAAGTATGTTGTCGATATACTATAATCGATATCATAGATATTACATAATTAAATATACATATAGGTATATTATATACAATAAAATATAATATATAATATTATGAATACAATAATATAATATATATGATTATATTTTATGACCAATATTGTCTATAATGTTATACAATGTAATGTAATATATGTGTATGTGTAATTATATTATATAAACAATATTACCTATAATATTATTTATAGTTTATAGTGTACTGAATTATATATGTATATATATTATATAATCAATATTATAGATAATATTATAAGTAATATAATCAATATTATAGATAATGTTATAAATAATATAATCAATATTATAGATTATACATCAATATTGTAGATTATGTTATAAATAGTATTATAGATTATATTATAGATTATATTATAAATAACATAATCAATATTATAGATTATGTCATAAATAATATAATCAATATTATAGATTATATTATAGATAATATAATCAATATTATTGATTATGTTATAAATA